TGTCCCCATGGCTGTCCCCGTGTCCCCATGGCTGTCCCCGTGTCCCCATGGCCGTCCCCGTGTCCCCATGTCCATCCCCGTGTCCCCATGTCCGTCCCCGTGTCCCCATGGCTGTCCCCGTGTCCCCGCAGGGCGAGTTCAAGCAAACCTCCTCGTTCCTGGTGTGACGTGGCGCTCCCTGCGCCCCCCGGACACTTTTTCCCGATTCCCGGAATTCCGGCGGGATTTTCTCTGCGGTTTTTGTAAAGCCTCACCCGGTGCCTTCGCTGCCACCGCTGCCTCTGGAACTTGGGGGGTCCCCGTGTCCCCACTTCTTCACCCCCTGCTTTTGTCCCCTCTTTGTGCCCCCCTTTGTCACCTCTTGTCCCCCCCCATTGTCCCCTTCCTTTGTCCTCCATCGTCCTCCCTTGTCCTCCATTGTTGTCCCCCCTTCCTTGTCCCCTCCTTGTCCCCTCTTCGTCTTCCCTGTCCCCTTTGTCCCCCCAACCTTGTCCCCCCTTCTTTGTCCCCTCCTTGTCCCTCTTTTGCCCCTCCTTGTCCCCTCTTTTGTCCCTCCTTGTCCCCTCCTTGTCCCTTCTTTGTCCCCTCCTTGTCCCCGGGGGCTCTGGAAGGGGGCAGGGCTGGTGCCACCAGGTGGGGACACGTGTCCCACTGGTCCCAGTGGCCCCCCTGTACTGGGAGGGTGGGGGAGGGTACTGGAAATAAACCTGTGTCCTTTACCCGGCCTGGTGACACTGGGGACATTGGGGGGAACACTGGGGAGTCTCTGGGGATATTGAGGGGACACTGGGGGGGTCTCTGGGGACATTGGGGGGACACTGGGGGGTCTTCTGGGGACATTGGGGGGACATTGGTGGATCCCTGGGGACATTGAGGGGACCCTGGGGACACTGGGAGGGCATTGTGGGGTCACTGGGGGGACCCTGGGAGGTCTCTGGGGACACTGAAGGGACATTGGTGGATCCCTGGGGACGTTGAGGGGACACTGGGAGCTCCCTGGGGACACTGGGGGGATCTCTGAGGACATTAGGGAGTCACTGGGGACATTGGGAGGACACTGGGGGGTCTCTGGGGACATTGAGGGGACCCTGGGGACATTGGGAGGACATTGTGGGGGTCCCTGGGGACATTGAGGGGACCCTGGGGGGTCTCTGGGGACATTGGGAGGACATTGTGGTGTCCCTGGGGACACTGGAGGGTCTCTGGGGACATTGAGGGGACCCTGGGGGCTGAAGGAGACCCTGAGAGACGCTGGGAGGGGTCCTTGGTGACACTGGGAGACCCTTTGGGGGGGGACATTTGGAACCCTCTGGGGACATTGGGGGGGGGTCCCTGGGGGCTGAGGGGACATCGGGGACACTGCGGGGACATTGGGGACACCCCCCACCATCGACGTCGCCTTTATTGAACTCCTGCCCCTCCCCCCCCCGCCCCCAAACCGAGCCCCCACGCTGGGAGGGGGGGAGGGGCAGCTTTGGGGGGTCCCGTGGGGGGGGGGGGGGGGGGGCGGTTGGGGGGGGGCGGGGGGGGGGGGGGGGGGGGTCCCGCTCCTTCCTCATTACTGACACCTTTAATTAGTGGCACTAATTGCCCCGGCACGGGGGGGCCGCGTTAATTGCGGGGTCTACGTTAAGCAGCAGCGACGGGCGGGGGGAGGGGGGACACCCCGGCCCGGGGGGGAGGGGACACGGTGGCCGATTATCGGTGACACCCCGGGGGGACCCCCCGACACTGCCCGGAGTGGGGTGGGGTAGGAAGGGGGTCCAGCGCTTGAGGGGGGGCTTGGGGGGTGAAGGAGGGGGGGGTCTCCTGCCTCAGTTTCCCCTGAGAGGGAAGGGGGGAGCAGCAGCAGCCCCCTGGGGATTGGTGACATCTCCAGGGGTTGGTGACACTTTTGGGGTGGTGGCACCTCCAGAGGGGTTGGTGGCAATTCTAGACATTGGTGGCACTTCGGGGCTGATGTTGCCTCCAGGGGCCGGTGGCACTTTGGGGCACCAGGGACTGGTGGCACCTCCAGGGACTGGTGCCATTCTGGGGCTCGTGGCACTTCCAGGTGTTGGTGGCACCTCCAGGTGTTGGTGGCACTTTGGGACTGGTGGCACCTCCAGGGTTTGGTGATGCTTTCAGGCATTGGTGGCACTTTGAGGCTGGTGTCACCTCCAGGACTTGGTGGCATCTCCAGGGGTTGGTGGCACATTGGGGCTGGTGTCACTTCCAGGTACTGGTGGCACTTCCAGGCACTGCTGGCACTTTGGGGTTGGTGGCACCTCCAGGTATTGGTGGCACCTCCAGATGGTGGCACTTCCAGCGCTTAGTGACATTTCCAGTCATTGGTGGCAACTCCAGGCACTGGTGGAATCTTGGCTGGTGGCTTTTCTGGGCATTGGTGACACTTTTAGAGACTGGTGGCACCTCAGGGCTGGTGGCACTTCCAGGCATTGGTGGTACTTCGGGGCTGGTGGCACTTCCAGATGTTGGTGACACCTCCAGTGGTTAGTGACACCTCCAGGCATTGGTGGCATTTCCAGTTGTTGGTGACACTTTGGGGCTGGTGGCACCTCCAGGACCTGGTAGCACCTCCAGGCTTTGATGGCATCTTGGGACCGGGGGCACTCCCAGATGTTGGTGACACTTCCAGGCATTGGTGACACTTTAGGACTGTGTCTCCTCAGGGCTGGTGTCACCTGCAGGCGTTGGTGGCATCTCCAGGGGCTTGTGGTACCTTGGAACTGGGGACACCCCGGGGGACTGGAGGATTTGTGGCACCTGCAGGCACTCTGGGGCTGGTGTCACCTCCAGATGTTGGTGACACCTCCAAGGACTGGTGACACCACCAGGGCTGGTGACATCTCAGCACCAGTGACATCTGGGGACTGGTGGCTTCTTTAGACACTTACATCCCCTTGGGGTTGGTGGCATCTCCAGGGCTGGTGACACCTCCAGACTTGGTGACACCTCCAGATGTGGTGACACTTTGGGGCTGGTGGCACCTCCAGACATTTGTGTCCCCTTGGGGCTGGTGGCACCTCCAGGGCTGGTGATACCTCCAGACATTGGTGTGCTCTTGGGGCTGGTGGTGGAACCTCTAGACTTGGTGCCACCTCCAGATGTTGTTGACACTTCCAGATGTTGGGGACACCTTCAGGCGTTGGTGTCCCCTGGGGTTGGTGGAACCTCCAGACTTGGTGATGCCTCCATGGATGGTGCTACCTCCAGGTGTTGGTGACACTCCAGTCTTGTTGACACTCTGAGGCTGGTGACACCTCCAGGAGCTGGTGACAGTTCTGGGGCTGGTGGCACCTCCACGCATTGGTGACACTTTGGGGCTAATGGCACCTCCAGACATTGGTGGCCCATTAAAACTGGTGAAAACGCCGAACTTGGCGACACTTCCAGACTTGGTGACACTCTGAGGGTGGTGGTACCTCCAGGTGCTGGTGACACCTCCAGATGCTGGTGACATTCTGAAGCTGGTGGCACCTCTAGGGCTGGTGACACTCTGAGGCTGGTAACGGGCATTGGTGACACCTCCAGACTCGATGACACCTCCAGGGCTGGTGACACCTCCAATTGTTGGTGTCCCTTTGGGGCTGGTGGCACCTCCAGGGCTGGTGACATTCTGAAGCTGGTGGCACCTCCAAGGCTGGTGACACCTCCAATTGTCGGTGTCCCTTTGGGGCTGGTGGCACCTTCAGGGCTGGTGACACCTCCAGATGTTGTCCCCTTGAATCTGGTGATACCTCCAGACACGGCGACACCTCCAGCACCTGCCACCACCCCCTTGCTCTGGTGCCACCCAGGGCCCGCTGCCACCCCTTGCTCCGGTGCCACCGGTGCCGATGTCACCTGTCTGTCCCCCCTCAGACATTGCTGATGCGGACACTGAGCGGGGCCCCCTCCCCCTCCCGCTCCGCCTCCCTCAGCGACTCCTCCAACTTCACCTTCTCGGGGTCCCCGAACCGGACGGCCTCGTGGTGACAGCAGGGCGCGGCCACCTTCACCACGCGGTCGAAGAGGCTGAAGTCGGCCACGTACTTGCCGCTGGCCGACAGCGAGATGGCCGGCGTGAACTCGTAGCCCCACAGGATCTCCTCGGGCAGGTAGGACGTGCGCACCTGGCACGTGGCGCTCGTCGACTCCACGGTGCCGCTCAGGATGACCACCAGCTCGAAGTCGCCGTCCCCCGAGCGCAGGGACACGTCCCGCAGCGGGCTGGCCTCGTCCACCACGTGGTAGAAGGTCAGCGGCAGGATGAGGAAGGGGCTGTCCGAGGACGTGTCCACCTGGAAGTCCACGTTGAGCTGGTTGAGCCGGACGCTCTCGCCCTCCTTGGTGAGGTGGGTCTGCAGCAGCTTCCCGGTGACCTGGCAGCCGATCAGGAGGCTCTTCCTCATGTTGGCCACGCGGATCATCAGGCAGGTCTTGCCGTCGTGCTGCGCCACCACCGCGTTCTGGCTGAACTTGATGGTCTCGGCGCGCTTCTTGGGCCGCGCGATCTTGGCCAGGAAGGTGCCGGTGATGAAGATCTCCAGGATGGTGGTCAGCACCAGCTGGGTGATGAGCAGCACGATGGCCAGCGGACACTCCTCGCTGATGTAGCGGAAGCCGTAGCCGATGGTGGTCTGGGACTCGAGGGAGAAGAGGAAGGCGCCGGTCAGCGTGTGCACCTGCATCACGCACGGCGTGTGGTTGGCGGGCGGCTCGAACTCCAGCAGGTCGCCGTGTGCCGCGGCCACGAGGTACCAGACCACGCCGAAGGCAAACCAGGTGCCGGCGAAGGTGGCGGAGAAGAGCAGGAGCTTGTAGCGCCACTGGAGGTCGATGAAGGTGGTCCACAGGTCCTTGAGGTACAGGAAGCGCTTGTCCGAGATGTGCTCCATGCGCACGTTGCTGCGGCCGTCCTTGGTCAGCACCCGGCGCCGCCGCAGCCCCGGCCCCATCAGCGGGCGGCTGTCGGTCTGCGTGGTCTGGCTGTAGTACACCTTGGTGGAGGACGTCATCTGCGGGGACACGGGGACATGTGAGGGGACAGGTGAGGGCCAGGTGGAGGGGGTCAACAAAAGGACATGGGAACAGGTGAGGGACAGGTGAGGGACAGGTGGAGGTCATCAAAGGGACATGGGGACAGGTGAGGGACAGGAGAGGGACATGAGAACAGGTCAGGGACATGGGGACAGGTGAGGGACAGGAGAGGGACATGAGAACAGGTGAGGGACAGGAGAGGGACAGCTGGAGGTCATCAAAAGGACATGGAAACAGGTAAGGGACAGGAGAGGTACCAGTGGAGAGGGTCATCAAAGGGACATGGGAACAGGTGAGGGACAAGTGAGGGACAGGTGGAGGTCATCAAAGGGACATGGAAACTCGTGAGGGACAGGAGAGGGACATGGGAACAGGTGAGGGACACCCCCTCCCTCCCTGGTGTGGGCTGAGGCTGGA